GCGGGCCCCCGGGCGGGCCCCCGTGCCAGCCACGGCACCTCCCCTGGGCTCCGGCTGGCAGAGGGGTAGGAGGCCTTGTCCCCAGGAGGTGAGAGAGGCCTGTGGGAGCTGGGAGGCCTCGCTGCTGCTCTGGGCCACTGCTGCGTGGGAGGGGGCATTCCCACTCGGAGGAAAGAGGCCCCCCTGGGGGTCCACCCTGGCCATACCTCCTGGCCCTGGCCCTTCCGGAATCCGTGTGGGCCTGGTCCTGGCGCACACCCCAGAGGCCGGCATGGCTCTCCCTCGGGCAGGAGGCCGGGCCCGGCAGTCTCTACCTTCTCGCACCTCGGCATCCACGGGGGCTCCTCTTGAGGGAAGCCTGCCGGCCACCGACCACTGACCAGGGCCAGCTGTTGTGCTCCAGAATGCCAGGAGCTCTGTCACCAGCCCCATGTGGAGACAGTGCCTGTGGCCAATGGGCATTGTCCACCCAGCTGCCCGCCCGGCTTGGAGGTAGCCACGTCAGGGGTCTGGGGTGTGGGGCTGGAGGCTGTGGGCTCAGGCTGCTCTGTCTGTTCCAGGGGATGCTCATCGAGGGGCCGCCGGGCCCAGAAGGACCTGCTGTGAGTATGGGCCGGGCGCTCCTTGACTGTGGGCGGGGCTCCAGGGGAGGGCATGGGGGCTCCCCACAGCTGGACAGGCACAGGGCCGTTCTGTGAGCATCCGCTAACCCTGCCCTGGTTTCCCTCTCAATTCTAGGGCTTGCCGGGACCTCCGGGAACTACGGGTCCCACTGGCCAAGTGGGTGACCCTGGAGAAAGGGTAAGAGGTCAACTCGGTTCTGAAAGTGAAGGCTCGTGGGCTTGCCCGTGACCCCTGTTCTCTGGGGAGGACGGGGTGAGTTCGGTGCCCACACCATGTCCCTGTTGTAGTAGCCCCTCCCCGACCCATCTAAGGCTGCCTGCCCTTCAGATGTCTGTGGGGGTCACCCTGTGCCTGCCCAGGGCAGGGCCAGGCAGTACCAGGAAGGCAGCTGGCCGTGACTCCCGAGGAGGCTCCATGGTCAGGGCCCAGCAGCAGCCCTGCAGCCCCACTCCGTCCAGCATCAAGGGGAGGCAGCTGCAGAGCTCAGGACTCTTCCTGTGCGTCGCCCAGATAAGCCACACTGCACAGAGTCCGTCTCTTCCCTCAGAACGAGGACTTCCTTGGCCCAGATGCCCAGTGCCAGGCTGGGAGGCTGGTTCTGCAGACCAAGCACCCCACCTCCTGCGGAAGTTGCTCCCAGGATGTCTGTGCTCCCTTCTGCCCCTTGGTGGGCACTCCTGGGAACTGCAGCCGCATTGGGCTCCTGGGAGCTGCCCTTCCTTGGGCTGGCCCTGCTGTGGGGGTACCGCTGTGTGCATGGTCGTATGAAGGCCGACACCCAGGGGCTCAGTTGTACGTGAGCGGAATAAGAGTGCGGGTGGTGCTTGCTGGGCCTTTACTTAGGCCCCCACGCGTGAGCGTGGACTTAGTGGTGGGTCATGGATGCCCCTTTGGGGAGCGAGTCATGTTGATGTCTGGTGGCTTTGGGGCCTGCTCAGGGCCGTGAGCCAGGAAGTCCGTAGACACAGGGATGGCCTGGGCGGGCTCCTTGGGTGTCCAACCCACGGCCTCGGACCTCAGGGTGCTCAGGCCTTCCTCGCGGGGAGGAGGCAATGAGTGGGTCAGGCCAGTGCAGGCACACGCGGCGGAGACACCAACAGCCTTCCTGGGGCAATAGCTGTCCCTGGGCGGGCACTGCTGGGAGGGGCAGGTGACATCCAGGCCCCCTCCCCGGCCCGGCACTGTCTCCAAGCCCGGAGCGCCACCTCCCACCCAGGGCTGGCGCAGTGACCCGCCCTGGAGGCTCTGCTCCGCTATTCACCAGCGTGCTCTCCAGACTTCCGGCCCTTTCAGACTACCCGGAGGAGGTCACCACACGTCAGGGGACCCTCGGGCGGTGTGTTTCCACACTACAAAGGGCCCTTGCCGGCCTTCCCAGTACCGTGTGGCGGTGCTATGTGGCTGTGGGCAGCTGAGCCGTCTTCACTCAGCAGAGCTCTGTCCTGGGCACCTGGGCTGGCAGAGAGGGGGCTGGGGGCCTGGCCAGCCTTCCCGACTTCCAGGCTGCTAGGTGAGGAAGCTGCAGCGGCCCCATGGGAACGCCCGGAGGACAGGGACAGGCTCCGTGCTGCTGGCCAGCGTCCCATGTCCAGTAGGGTGTGCCCCCATGGCGGCAGCAGAGAACCCGCGTGTACCCTGAGTGTCTCTGAGGCGAGCCCACCTCTCCCCACAGATTTGTCCTTGAGGTTCTCGTGCCGGCAGCTCAGACAGGTCTGGGGTCCTAGGAGTTCGGCCGCGTGTTTCGGGGTGCGGGGGCCGTAGCAGCCCTGCCTTGCACGGCCCTCTGGAAAGTTAGGTTTAGAAATGAGCTCATGGCCTTCTTATTGGCTTCCGCAGTTCCAGCGCGTGCTGGCTGCCCTCTGCCATCCGCGGCTGGAGGCAGACATGGGACGGGTTCAGCCCTGCGTGTTAATGGTTGCTGGTTAGAGCGGCTTTTGGGGCCGGATTGTTGGGGCCCCTTGGGGACCTCGACCCTGTAGGGTGTCTCCAGGCTGTGCATGCGAGTGTCTTCCCTGCATAACTGGGGTGCGGCAGAAGTGGCATGGCTGTCACACACGTGGCTCTGTGTAGACAGCTCGGCCCCGTCTGGAAGGGCTGAGGCTCCTGTCCTCTGACCCCGGGGTGGCCTTGCTATGTTTTGCGCTCCAGTATGTCTCCCACGCCATTGGTAGCTTGAGCCCCGCCCTGAATAGCACTGGGCACCCCGTGCTAGAGTGTGTCCCCGTACCAGCCCCGGGCAATGACCT